CATCTTTCGGGTATGTTGTAGGGCGATCTTTCAGCTAGGATCCTGCAGAGTGCAGGAGGTTGGACTAGATGACCTGCAAGGTCCCTTCCAACTCTAACATTCTATGATTCTGCTGAATTACAGTAGCCTTTGTCATCAAATGTCCCTTGGAGAGCCAGTTTGGTGTAGTGGAAGAACTGGGTTTGATTCCGCACTCCTCCACATGCAGCTGCTGGGGTGACCTTGGGTCAGTCACAAGTTCTCTCAGAGCTGTTCTCTCAAGGGCAGTTCTCGAGAGAGAGCTCTCTCAGCCCCACCTACCTCACCGGGTGTCTGTTGTGGGGAGGGGAAGGGAAAGGAGATTGTAAGCCGCTCTGAGACTCTCGAGTGAAGGGCGGGGTATAAATCCAATCTCTTCTAGACAGTTCTTGAGTGTTTCTAACTGTCTTTTTATTCTGTTGCGGAGAGAATGTATCCCATTAGAGGACGTGTGCAGCAATGTTTCCTCTAAGCTGTGAAGTCCTGTGAGCAAGAATTCTACTTTGTGAGCTCCTGCATTAAAGTTGTGAGCAAGCCATTTGCCTACTGTTGTACACACTGCTTATGAAACACTTTGTACTCTGCCACTGGCTAACAGTCAGTTTACCTTAGTAGGTGCTCTTCACACTTCCATGGTGCATATGTTAAGTGCCTTTGATGATTCTAATCACAGTGACTGAAATCAATCATGAACATCTATTCAGATATTCAACTTTGGTTCATTGCTTAAAGGCATTCTGGGTAAAATACCAAATGCTGACAGGCAGTAACTGACTGACCTTGCTTATAGCGGCCGGTTGTAACTGCGCATGCTCCTGATGTCAGTTTGCTTGCATTAGATGAAGAACATACTGCATGATGTACCAATATTTGTTGCAATTAGAATCTCACAGAATGAAAAGAAGGCCTATTGTTTAGCTGAAGGAGGTATATTTTTGTCTGAGAAAATCCAGCCTACAGGTTGGAGCCCAATCAGAATGGAGTGACGGATGTATGACAAAGTTGGATGGAAGCAATAATTGTGATTTATTTCTAACTGTCATAGGGCTACCCTATGTCTCCCATTGTAACCTTAGGGAGAGCTCTGGGGTCCAAAACCTTATTGGGTCTGCACCTCCCTCCTTTGTTGATCAATAAAGTACAAGATCTGATTCTCCTCTACAAGACTGCCGCGTGCTTTCTCAAATTGGGCTGGGGGAGCACAACCTTTGACGGAGTTTCTGTCTTACACTACTGCAAAAACTAGTTTGCTCTGGAGCCATCCCTTCCTGAGCGAAGACAAAAACGGGTGAGCCGGAGGCTGAAAAACTGTGAGCTGGCTCACGCTAACTCACCTTAGAGAGAACATTGCTGGTGTGAAGATGAATGAAGTCTGGATGGTTAGGCTGATGGCATTGCTGGGGGGGATGCAGACAGTGTAACCCTCTAAGCTGAGTGAGTGTGAGCCGGCTCACAGCTCTTTAGCCTCCGGCTCACCCATTTTGCCTCCGCTCAGGAAGGAGGGCTCCAGAGCGAACTAATTTCTGCAGCAGCCAAATCGCCCGCTCACAGCTTTAATGCCAGGAGCTCACCAAGTAGAATTTTTGCTCACAGGACTCCACAGCTTAGAGGGAGCGTTGGATGCGGAGGGTCCGAATTCTTGTCCGGGTTTAACTTTGCACGGCATGACTGAAATCTAAAAACTGCAGGGCTCTTTTTGTAGAAAAAGCCCAGCAGGAACTCATTAGCATAATAGGCCACACTCAACAGCAGGAACTCATTAGCATATTGGGCCACACCCCCGACAGCACAGCTCATTAGCATATTAGGCCGCACCCCCATGTTACCAGAAGTGTGCTCATCCAGCCACACCCACCTTTTGCTTGTTATTCTGTTTACCTTGTTTGTGGTCAAAACCCAGGGCCTTTTTTTGGAGCAGGGACTCCTTTGCATGTTAGGCCACACACCCCTAATTCTAGCCAATCCTAATGAGTTCCTGCTGTTGGGTGTGGCCTATTAATGCTAATGAGTTCCTGCTGGGCGTGGCCAACTCGGGAGCCAGCCGGAACTCCGTTCCTGTGCGTTCCTGCCCAAAAATAGCCCTGCTAAAAAGCGGTAACAAAGGCTGAAGCCATCAGTCGTGTGGCAGCCAGGGTCCGCATTTCCCTTTTCTTTAAAAAAACAACAACCACCATTCTTGTCCTCCGGCAGGTCCATGGCTGAAGTGCACGTGATTGGCCAGATCGTGGGCGCCAGCGGGTTCTCCAGCAGCAGCCTCTTCTGCAAATGGGGGATCCACACAGGTGGGTGGAGCCTTGCACTTGGGGTATTGATGTATGAAAAATGGTCACGAGCTGGCAGACGTTTGTGCCCTGGCCTTGCCCTGGGAGGGAAAGTTGGGTCTCTCAGGTCCAGTGGCGACCACTTGGGAGGGAAGCTCGCTCAGACAGCACCAGATCCCAGAAGATCCCGGACGGAGCCCCTACTGAAAAAGGATCTCGGTCAGGAAGGTTGGGAGATTCCTTGCCCCGGAGACAAGAAGCGCACCATCGTGGATCGCAGCAAGTCGACACGGGACTGGATGGGACTCAGTGTTCAAAGCCGGCGCTTTGCACGCCGTTAAATTTTTGCGGTTCTTAGGGGCTGCAAGGACCAATGGTTGGATTCAGTGTTCCCTCTAAGCTGAGTCAGTGTGAGCCAGCTCACAGGTTTTTAGCCTCCGGCTCGCACCTTTTTGTCTTCGCTCAGGAAGGAGGGCTCCAGAGCAAACTAATTGGTGCAGCGGCCAAACCGCCCGCTCACCACTTTAATGCCGGTCGCTCACCAAGTAGAATTTTTGCTCACAGGACTCCACAGCTTATAGGTTGGGTCCCATCTAAGGCGGCTTCGTACATCTGCCCCCAAGACCCATGCTCCCTCTAAGCTGTGGAGTCTTGTGAGCAAAAATTCTTCTTTGTGAGCCGCTGGCATTAAAGTGGTGAGCGAGCAATTTGGCTCTGGAGTTTGCTCTGGAGCCCTCCCTTCCTGAGCTGAGGCAAAAATCTGTGAACCGGAGCCTAAAAAACTGTGAGCAGGCTTACACTGGCTCGGCTTAGAGGGAACACTGCCCAAGACCCCTTCGAAGTTATTTTCTCCTTCTAATTTCCTCTCCCCCCACCCCTTCTGTCCTCTTCCAGGTGGCGCCTGGAAGTTACTGTCAGGGCTTCGGGAAGGGCAGACGCAAGTCGACAACCCCCAGTTGGATGACGTCGCCTACTGGTCCCACCCCATCGACGTCCACTTTGCCACCAAAGGCTTGCAAGGTAAGGACCTTTCCCCTCTCTCCCTCCACAAAACTTGCCCGTCTGGGCCTCCTCTGGACGTCCGGGCTTTCTGGCTTGTTATAATCTGGAGGTTCTTTTAGTGGTCAGTTTTATAGCACTAGGAGCTGCGGTGGCTCAAGTGGTTAAGATGCTGAACTGCAGGCTGTGGAAGGTCGGTAGTTCAGCAGTTCAAGACCCGAGTGTGCCGCATGACGGAGTGAGCTCCCGTCTCTAGTTCCAGCTCCTGCCAACCTAGCAGTTCGAAAGCAAGAAATTGCAAGTAGATAAATAGGTACCACTTCGGTGGGAAGGGAACAGCGTTCCGTGCGCCTTGGTGTTTAGTCATGCCGGCCACATGACCACGGAAATGTCTTCGGACAGCGCTGGCTCTTCGGCTTTGAAATGGAGATGAGCACCACAACCCTAGAGTCGGATTCGACTGGCTTTCGAGCAAGGGAACCTTTACCTTTTATAGCACTACGTAGCAGAGTTCCCTCTAAGCTGAGTTAAGTGTGAGCCAGCTCACAGTTTTTTAGCCTCCGGCTCACACACTTTTCTCTTAGCTCAGGAAGGAGGGCTCCAGAGCAGTGTCTCCTCTAAGCTGAGTTAGTGTGAGCTAGCTCACAGTTTTTTTAGCCTCTGGCTCACACATTTTTGTCTTAGGACGGAGGGCTCCAGAGCAAACTAATCTATGCAGCAGCCAAACCGCTCGCTCACAACTTTAATACCGGTAGCTCACAAAGTGGGATTTTTGCTCACGAGACTCCGCAGCTTAGAGGGGGCACTGCTGCACAGTGGACGGGAGTTCCTATGCCTCCCCGGGCCACTTTCCCAGCATTCCGTGGGCTGTGCGGGCAAGGAAGCCCCCACGTCGTTGGGAGCCAGTAATGTACTCTGCAAGCTGGTACGGCTTTCCCTTCTCTTACCGGTTCTGGAATCCCAGTCTCGGAGTCATTA